GTATGGGCACCACAATTTTGGTGCCACTCGAACCGCCATTTCGACCCAAGCCGTGCGACGTGAGTCCGGCCTTAACGCGTTTCCATTTGGCGCGACGATTTTGAAACCAGATTTTAACCTAGACCAAAATAAGGTGGGAGAAGCAGAACAGACACATGGAGAGTTAATATAACGTATGATACCGACAAGAGAAAAGTGACCGGAAAATTGAAATGAAAAATTGACATTCTTCAATTTTGCATAATGGGATGATTTACTGTTTATATTTGATCTGTCAACACACCTGAACTTCACTCAATTTCAGACTTGTGGCTATTTGACTCCGTTCCGTTAGGCTAAGATACTTTTTAGCATGGAATTCGCGTTCCAGCTCGAGCAACTGCTCTGACGTAAAGGCTGTTCGTCGCCGACGAGACTTGGAGGAACTGTTGCTGCCCCCGCTTTGTGACTCCTTGCCGCCGGCTTCATGGCGCGAGTGACTGCCCTCGTCATCGCTGCAATCCTCACTGTCCGAGTTTGTATAGGCTACGAAACGGGAAAAAATAACACATAATATAATAATTTGGAGGATTCCATAGATAAAATCATTTCCGTTTAAGAATCAATGAACAATTACTTAAAGTATCTTATTACCAATTCATTTCCCAAACGACTTAAGCTTTCAAATTATATGCGCATCCCCATTAACACTACTTAACAAACTTCAGATCCTGACACCGATTGCGACTTCTGTCGTTAATGGGCTGTGTCATAACATTTGTGGCAAACATATTTAGCTATAACTGGATACATGTGTGAGCCCCTTCCAAGTCTTTCCAGCCCATTCCAGCCACAACAACAAACTGCAATTTGTGACCCAAGCCAACTGAGGCCTCAGGCAAGTGCGAGTATGAGTGGGAGGATGACAGAAAGAGAGAGAGAGAGAGAAAGAGAGAGAGAAGCAGAGAGTGACCACGTTCGAGTGAGCGAGTGTTGCTTAGCCTGTTCATCCCCTTTGAGATGCCTTATTATTTTGGTTAACGCTTAAACGCTTTTTTAACACTTACACGCTTCAAATATGCCCATCGCCTGCCCTGTCACTGATTTATTTGCACGGCGGGGGTATATCATTGTCGAGAGCCGTGCTGTGCTGTGCATCGCACCCCAACATCATATGAAATTCAGTTATGAATACATTATATTTCACTGTGTACACCGATTCGTTTCGCCTAACTTCTGCAGAGGAGACTTCAGACAGAAGAAGTCGTGGCGATGCGGTTTGCTAAAACTTTTCTCTTCCATTCCATTTCAATGACTAAATCGTTACGTTTGTCAAAATGTCAGCTCCATTTTTGATGTTATTGTTATTCTCCCTTTTTCTCTCTCTCTCTCTCTCTATATATATATATATCTATCTCTCTTTCGCTCTGGATGTCAGTCTACTCTCCTCGGAGAACTTTGCAGCTTTTGATTGACATCAAACATTGGGTCGTAAATGCGTTTTATGCTAATTTTGTCTATGACTTGACTGCCTCATTTTAATTACCATGACAAAACCACTTTAGACCGACTACAAGGAGAAGAAGTAGATAAAGCTGGACTTGACGGCATGGGGAGTCAGTAATAGAAGTTAGCAATATTCGTTTCGTTACTGAAGTAAAAGGATCCCATTTCTCATTTAAGAGTGTTCCAAGATAATCAATTATTCTTACTATAATACTAAATAAGACCTACTTGAAACACGCAACAGATAAATATCTAGTTCCTGGGCAAAGCAAAAAGGTAATACCAATACGTTATACTTATTTTATATCAGAGTAATGTTACTTTATAGATTATATATAAAAAGTTCAGGTCAATTTGTATCAGAATGTGATGATGACTTTCATTCGTTCTATGGGGCAGTTCAGACTACATCCTTTTAAAATACCTCATTAGCTTATTATATATAAAGTTTGATTTGTTTTTATGCTTAATAAATCATTTGATTATTTTCAGCTTCGCTACCTACCTCCATTGCGACTCTTGTCGAGCTCCGTGCTGTAGTTTTGCGGTGACATGGTGAGACTGATGTCGCTGCATGAGTCACCACTGCATTCGAAATCCTCGTCCATGCCTACATCGACAGCAGGCTCCGCAGGACTTGTTGATTTCGAGGGCGATGATGGTTGAGGTGGCGATGGCTCCAGTTGGTTCGGAACCAGAGTCGTGGGCTGATGATGATGCTGATGCTGACTCTCAGCCATGTGCTGGAGTCTGGCATGTACGCTCAGACTGTGTACATAGTCCTGATTCATGAGTTCCGCGAGACGGCGATAGTTCAGATCCGAAGGAGCGGCAGCAGCAGCTGCTGCAGCGGCGGCGGCTGCAGCGGCGTTGAAGGGCAGGAATCGAGTGTCCAGCGGATGAGGCAGAGGTAACTCATTGGGCTTTGTAGGACTGAGGCTGAGACTCTCCAAGGCATGTGACTGTGGTTGTGGCTGTGGATCTTTGCCGGCAAACGGCGCACCAAGGTAACCGCCGCCACTACCACCGCTGCCGCCGCCGGCAATTAGATGTGAGAGCCGTTCATGATTCTGGGCAAAGTAGCCATGCAGCCAGGGATTGTAAAGTGGGAACTGTGTCAGGCCCAGCATAGTACGTGCATTAAGCTCACGACTGTTATCCCTTTCCAATTCCTGCGTCCGGTTACTATCGCGTTCCAGTTCCCGTTCCCGCTCGCGTTCTTTCTCCTGTTCCTGTTCCTGATCACCATTGGCAGCAGAAACAGCGGCGGTTGTTTGATTCGCAATCAGACTCTCTATGGAAAAGGGTTTCGGCAACGGTTTGCTAATCAGCTTGCTGCTGCTCTCTACCGGCGGCGGTAGCAGCAGCGCCGCATGCTCGTTTTGCATTATCAACTTCGGTTTCGTTTGCTCGCCTTAAAATTGTTCGAGACGCGCGATACGTGACGCAGTGAACCGTTCAAAGATCTGCGCGCAAATGAAAGCCAATGCTGCCGCATGCACAGCTCACAGCTCGCAGCTCAGTTGCCCAGTCGAAAACAACCACCGCACACACACACTCGGCGCAAGTGTGAACGAGAGAGAGCAAGCACGAACTAGCTCCGCCTCGTTAATGACCAATATGGCGCGCTGTGTGAGAGCTCTGGGCGTCTCTGATTGGCTGTGCGCTAATTGCTGTCAAACCGGTTGAGCTTGTCTGTTTTCTATTTGTGTTTGGGGTTGTTCTTGGACACACACACCACATACTCGGGGACACATACAAGAGTCTCTAATTGCTTACTGCTTGATTCATGCGGCAATCAGACTAGCCATGAATAAAGACAATATCGATATCGGCTCTGTTAGCAGTTGCCTAGCTTTGCTTATGCCATGGTGTGCGCAACATAGCTAACTCTCAGGTGGCATATTAGCCGGCAGTAGGGTTTGATTACGTGAGCACAGGTAGGGGTGGCACCTGCCTATACCAGCCAAAATCAATTGAATATGAGTATCAATTCACTTTAAGATACCACTTTCAGGGAATTTATAACTTTATCAGTTTTGACGAGTAAGTGGCTAGAGTTCTCTTTTCATTTCATCTTAATTGCTTTCAAATGAATCAAGTTCCGCCTTCGGTGTTAATTTGTTATGCGAGCCACATTTAACACGTTTGTCAATTTGCATTTGTGGCTTAAATTGGCCATAATTGACCACATTTTTGGCAACATAAAAAAATCGAGTGTTTGTAAGCTTTTGTAGGTAATTAAATAGCATTTGGTCACGTTTGAGTGTTTGAAATATTTTATGAGCGCTTTAAATCGCAATATTTTGTTTGCATTGGGCATAAATTAAAATATAATTATGCGCCTTGTCGGCGATTATTGGTATAATGATAAAAAGGTCTGTGATTTTCATTTGGCGGTGATTCAAGTTTATTTGGCTTAGAGCCTGCATAAAGATATTATGTGTGTGTGTGTGATGTGTACATATGTAGATGTTTTGTTGCTGTTTGCTGTTTGTTGTGTGCTGCTTGCTGTTTGTTCCCTCTGCGGAAAACGGACAAATTAACGAAATGCAACGAAGCGTTTCATGCGCTCAAATAAATCAGGGCGCTGTTGACACCCGGGATGTTGTCTATATAAGTGTGTATGTATGTGGTGGGGGCATCACATACAAGTACAGATACAGATGTATATCGAAATTATTTACTGACAAATTGTTTTGAATACTTTACATATTTGCGACTCGTTTGCAGCGCTCAAAAATGCGCACAAAATAAAACACAAACAATTACAACTGCATCAACTGTGAGTGCATCAATATCAATACGTATGATGATGATATGATCAGTGATGTGCATTAAGCTTTTTTCGAACTGATGGGATTGGAATATATATATTTATTTATTTATCAGATGTCTCCTATTCGCAGCTCTGATGATGATACAAAAATTATTCTTGAGCTTTAGTGTATACGAATTTAAGTCTATGCCTACGGACCCCCAAATTATATCCTTCAACTAATATAAATTTAATAACCATTACAATTTTTGGTTTGTATTCGAACGGCAGCGTCGAACATGTGTTCGCAGTTAACCGCAACATCGGCTCATAACGAGAAGCTGTCCAATGTTTACCCAGCAATTGACACGCCTCCTTTAGCAATTTGTAGGCTGGATCCTGTATGGGCACAACTGCCCTTCGTAATTGTGTTATTTTAACCCTTTCCATAGACTTTACTTGTAAAACTGTAATTATGTCTGGAATATCAATGTTGTTTATACAGTTTAATTGGAAATTGTATAGTAATTACAGTTATTAGCTCGCTTGTTATGTGTAGGCATAGTTTACATACATATATAGTAATTAGTAGCTTATAGTTGAGCACGGTCTTTGATCTATTGACATATTGCAAAGCAATTATTGTCGTGCCAAGTGTCATATCAAGCAGCTACAAGCAGTTTGCGATACCATTTCGATTGCACAGCTATCGACTTTCTGGTTAGAATTGAATTTATGTTGCCACTACAATGACTATACAATTTTTCCACCAGGTGGCAATATTTCTTTTCTCAAAAAACGTTTTGCGATTCCGTGCTGCACCCGCTTTTAATAGGTAAATAATTATTAATTTAAGCTGACATCACGTCTTAAAAGTATGAGTTGAAAATTGAGCAAAGAAGAGAATGAATTGAACTATAATATTTTGTATATATTGTATGAAATTATAGCGAGAATAGGGATAAAATTAATCTCGAAAAATCGATGGGGGAAAAATGCACCTCATCACCGGCTCATTATAAAACATAGAACATTAATACTAATATATTATTATTTTGCATTTAATAGGTAAAATGCCTGAGCTAACTGAAATCAAAAACGAAGCCCCTTCGACCTCCGCGGAGGCGAAGCAACCGGAGGATGGGGATGTGCGTGTCGAGGATGATGGCAGCGAGAGTGATTCGGATATGATTCCCGAATTGGAGGAGGCCGAAATCGGAACCACACAATTGGGCGGCGGTGCCACGGGTTTGCCCATTGATATGGTATCGAAGGCAAAGCAGTCGCGCGGAGAGAAGAAGGCGCGCAAAATCATGCTGAAGCTTGGTCTGAAGCAGATTCAAGGTGTAAACCGCGTGACCATTCGCAAGTCGAAGAACATCTTGTTCGTCATCAATAATCCGGATGTGTACAAGAACCCCCACAGCGATACATACATTGTTTTCGGTGAGGCTAAGATCGAGGACTTGTCGCAGCAGGCTCAAGTGGCAGCCGCTGAAAAGTTCAAGGCGCCAGAAGGCCCTCTCGCCGCTGACAGCGTAGGTGCCACCACATCAGTGGCTCCAATCGCCGAGGAAGATGAGGAAGAGGTCGATGGAACGGACGTCGATGAAAAGGACATTGAATTAGTTATAACGCAGGCGAATACGACGCGTGGAAAAGCCATAAAGGCGCTGAAGAACAACAAGAACGACATCGTAAATGCCATTATGGAGCTGACAATGCTCTAAGGCGCTGGAACGCAGGAACATCGTTGCTTTCGTTTATTACCCGCCTTTCGATAAACTACAAATAAACAAATCCCAAATCCCAAATGTTATGCGTCTCCGCATGTTAAGCACCAGTCGAACATTTAACAAACTAACAGGAGAAGAATAAAGTGACATGCTTTTAAAAGTCAAACACCTCGGAACTCTTTATATTTCTATTAATTCCAACTAGCATCTGAATCAACTATATCCACAAAATTCAAAAATGTATGCTTGGCTAACTACGATCTAAAATAAGTTGCTTTGGTTAGCATCAATGAGACAAAACACCGTAGATTCTAGTAAAAGAGAATTAAGTACAATTTTGATCCATCCATGTGGCATAGACAAAGACATCTCTTAAGATTACTGCACTTGGTGGGCTTCGGGCTGCGCTCTTAATACACGAGCTTGGCTGCGTGACTGCAGGCGTATTTCTGCCGGTGCCTGCATCCAGGGCTCGCCATCGGCCTGCATAGGTACCGTCCCATTCACCCGTAGCTGCAATCAAATATTAGAATTTATTAAACAATGCCTGGTTGGTCATCGGTTTCATACCCTTATCTGCTTGGCTTGGCCAATGCGCACGGGTTTGCTTATGTTGCACTGCAGCTGAGCAATGTGGAAGGATGAGACTATGCCAAATACTTCCATCATACCATCAGAAATGGAGTTCACGATGCGAGGTTCGTCATTCGAGTTGCTCAGCTCGCATAGTTTGCAACCGGCTCCCCAGGAATCAATATTTAGGAACACCAACGATTGCAACTCCGGCAGTTCGACTAGCTTGTTATCTAGATGAAGTTCTAGTTTCTTATCAATGCGTTCGCAGTCCGGCTGCATGACCTGATGTGTACCAAAGGTGAAGTAGAGCAGCTGGTATAAACGAGGTAGGGTATAAACGAAATTTTAAAAGAAATTTTAAGAGATGTAATTAGGTGTTGTAATACCTTGTTAAAAATGCGGCTGCTGAGCAGATAAAATCGAGATTCGCGTGTCTTATGAAAATTGTAGGTGATGTATGCGTCGACTCCCACGCTGAAATAGTTGTAAACGTGTATGGTCTTCAAGGGCTGCATTTGGATGGGAAGACGATAGTGCAGCTTCTCAATTTGAAGATCATACCTATCAAGATTTACGGATTTGGCACGTCTTATGCTTCGCAGTATCTGCAGGGGATCGAGCACTGAAGGCGGCTCAGCGCCCCAGCCCAGGACGCGGGATAAATCGTTTCCAGTGCCCAGTGGCATGATAGCCACAGATGGTTGAGGTTTTATGTTTAGGGTGTAAATGGTGTTAAGCACCCAGCCAATTGTTCCATCGCCACCAGCAACTAAAATGCGACAAGGGCGTGGACTTGTTTTAGCTGCCCACTGGAGTGCATCATGCGGTCCGCGTGTGCCCAGCTCCATCACCTGCATTGGATGCAGATATCCACGCAATAGCGATAAAACATTTGCGGCCGTGCTGCTACCCGATTTGGTATTGGCTATAACAATTAGTGGTTCCCAGTTTTCAATGTCAGGTGGCTTTATGCCTGCGAGATGCAAACGCACAGATTCACGTGTCCTGGCTGCGACAATGCTGTAGGGCGGATATATCATGTCCCGAAACTCGCCAAAGTCACATTCACCTTTGATATCCACTTTCTTGTAGCATGTGTCGTGGTAACAACGTTGACACCAGGCACACCGCCAGCCAAACAGACCTGGTCCCGAGCTGCTACTATGATCCTGTTCAGCTTCTTGTCCGCACCCTGAACAGCTGTAATTCATTGGCAAATTGCCGCGTACCCATAAATGACGCACTGCATTCGTATTTCGTAGCCATTTGTCCTTGCAGCGATAGCGAGTGTCTGCTTGCCTTTGACATGTTGGCTCCGAATGCGTGCAGAGGCCACAACAGTCGCAGAAGAGACCAGCAGATGGTGTCAACAGAATCTCACACACATTACAAAAGCAGGCCTACAAGGTGATAGCTGTATAATAGTAATAGGTACGCATGAACTTTTTTTACATGTACCTGTTCAACGATTTTTATTGATTTCCAACTATGACGTGTTTTGCCCGATATGCAAATGACAACATCTTCCGTTAAAATGCTGCGACAGAAGATGAAAAGCATGCTCAGGGCCACAAGCGAGCCAATGAGCGCTTCCACGCTAAGCTCAATGCTGGCTATATCCATATCTGTTTGCCTGTGTTCTACTGATTGCCTGAGGATTCTTACATTTTTACATATCTCATGTTTATGTTTTATATTCAATTCAATGTTTCAACTAATTATAGCTAGTGTTGCAAAACGCATAGACACAGCTGACCGAACTCACTTCGAGGCGGTTGTTTGGTTAGTGGCGGTATCTTTCTGTCTGCGATTGTAGTTTGGGTTTTCGAGAAATAATAGTTTTTATTGAGAATATTGTAAAAGTTAAATTGTATTTTTGTTTTATTTTCATTTTAAAGTGATTAGATTGTCAAATTTGATCTCTATCCGCGCAGAACTCTTTGGCATTTCAGATGAGACGATATTTGCTTTTTCGATATATTGTTTCGAATATCGGATAGTCGTTCTTCTCCAAGCAGTGTTGAGAAGCCTGTGAGCGGCACTGCACGTGGAGGCACACATATTTTAAACAACGTTTTTCGCGAGCGAAACGTGAATTAAAGGGACTAGAATATGGGGCGCAAAGCTGAATATAGTGAAAAGCAAAAGAAAGGGCCTGGTCGCAAGGCACGCAAACAGGGACCCCCTAAGTTTCCAAAGAAATCATTCGGTATTTAAAACTCTGCTAATCTCATTGATCAAAAATATAAAAATGTTTATTTGCAGCGCCGCTCGACGATGAGGATAAGAGATTGTCGCACCGTCAAAAACAGCGCGTTGCCAAGCGGGAACAAAAAAAGGTAGTGCAGAAAGCTAAATCAAAGGATAAACGCGCTCAACAGCCCCGTAAGCAAAAAGAGTATCACAGCGAGAGCGACAGCGAGCCAGAGGCGCAGCGCCCGGCGGAGTCATCAGACGAGGAAGTGCCACAACTTGTGCCAATCAAAAAACAAAAGTCAAATGGTTTCACGGATGACAATAAAGATTGGTTAAAGTTGAAGTCGAAACTGCAACAGAAAACTAGGAAACAGCAATTAGATGAGCTGGAAGAGGAGCAAGAATCCGAGAATGAATTTGAGGATGATTCAGATGAAGAAGTTGAAAACGACGAGGCGTATGATGAAACAGATGGAGAAGAGGAACAATCAATAGATGAGGATAACGAAGCTCAAGTTGGTAAATTGGAAGATCTTTTTGATGAGGACGATGAAGATCAGGAGACAGATGAAAATGAAAATGATGACGATGATGATGATGATGAGGATGATGACGATGATGACGATGATGATGAGGATGAGGATAATGATGATGATGATGATGACACGTTGCCTATTGAGCGTGCCAACAAAAAACTTAAAAAACGTCAGGCGCAAGATGACAAATTGGCACAGGAGGAGATGCAGATGTCTGTCGATCAATCGGAAGTGTTTCGTTTACCAGAGCCTGGGGAAGACGCTGATAAGGAGCTCTCTTTACAGGATGTGCAACAGCGCATTAAGGACATTATTCAGGTACTCTCGGATTTTGGAAAATATCGGCAGGAGGGTCGCTCCCGCAGCGAATATGTAGATCAGCTTCGTTTGGACCTATGTTTGTACTACAGTTATAATGAGTTTCTAATGTCCAAATTAATGGATATATTTAAGTTGAGCGATCTTATGGAGTATTTGGAGGCCTCAGAGGTAAGTTATTAATTATTATAATTTGTAATCAACCTTTATTTTATATATTTGTTTTATTAGGTAGCGCGTCCGCTGACTATACGCACAAATTCCCTAAAGACACGCCGTCGAGATCTTGCTGGCGCGTTAATTAATCGTGGTGTCAATCTCGATCCACTAGGCAAGTGGACAAACGTGGGCCTTGTCATATTTAATTCCACTGTTCCACTGGGCGCCACGCCCGAGTATCTAGCTGGACATTATATGATACAGGGCGCTTCGTCGATGCTGCCAGTGATCGCATTGGCCCCGCAGGAGAACGAACGAGTCCTAGATATGTGCTCCGCACCTGGGGGCAAGGGATCACATATAGCTGCCGTTATGAAGAACACGGGAGTGTTATTTGCCAACGATGCGAATAGGGATCGGATCAAGGCCGTTGTGGCAAATTTCCATCGCTTGGGCATTGTGAATGCTATTGTCAGCTGTGAGGATGCGACCAAGTTTAGAAATATAATGACAGGCTTTGATCGAGTACTGCTTGATGCGCCTTGTACTGGCACGGGTGTGGTCTCCAAGGATCCGAGCGTTAAAACGACTAAATCAGAGATCGATGTGCAGCGTTGTTATAATTTGCAGCGCAAGCTTTTGCTTACCGCTATTGATTGCGTGGATGCCAAATCTTCCACTGGCGGATATGTTGTATATTCCACTTGTTCAGTCTTGCCCGAGGAGAATGAATGGGTCATTGATTACGCTCTCAAGAAGCGAAATGTAAAGCTGGTGCCCCTGGGCATTGATTTTGGTGAGCCTGGTTTTACCAAGTTCCGCCAGCATCGCTACCATCCCAGCTTAAATTTGTGCAGGCGATTTTATCCACATACAAACAATATGGATGGCTTCTTTGTGGCTAAGCTGAAAAAGTTTTCCAATACCATACCTATCACTAAGGAGCAACAGGAAGCGGATGAGAAGCAGCTAGATGAAGCACTTGCATCAGATCAGACTGAATTGAAGGCTGCAGAAACTAAGGAAGCGGAGGCAGCGGAAGTCACTGATGGACGCCGAAAAGCCCTTGGAAAGCGTGCTGGAAAGCCCAGTCTTACAGACGTAGAACATGATTTAAAAAAGAAAAAGCTTGAACAAAGTAAGACGAAATATGTAGCTAAGGTGTTTGAGAAGCCAATCAAAGTGTCCAGCAAATCGAAGCCAGAGCGAACGTTGCCTGTTTCCGAAGAGAAGGAAGAAAAAGCCTCCGCAGCTTCCCCAAAGGTCCGATCGAAACAGCCGGCACCACAATCGAATGGAAATAAGAAACAGAATCCTTCGAAAAATGAAGAGCAATCACCGCCACAAAAAAATGGACAAAAAGCGAAACCAACATCGAAAATAGCAAAGAAACTTTCCCAGGCGCCTCGAGTGGATATTGATGAATTGCCATTGCTAGAAGGAAAGCCCATTAAAAAGGAAAACAAACTGAAAAATAAATCTAAGCAGCTGGGACAGTTGAAAAAGTCCAAGAAGTCAGCGGACAGTAAAAGCAAGCAGAGGTTTAAAAAATAATCATGAATTGGAATTAGTTTAATGAGTCTTATTAAAAACTTTATAGTTGGTTAATTGCGTTGCTTAAAATATGTAATAGGCTTACTGTAGAGTCCATCTGCGCAACCATCCAATGAGAATTATTTGTTTTTATAATAAGTGCAAACAGTTTGGATTATAAATGTTTTTATAATCAACAACAATAAAATGTATTTTATTAAAACTTGCAAATCATATATATTTTTATCTCAATGTATATAAGTATGTATATACTATATAATATCACCATGTACTATATTTTTGTACATGAATTGCAGCTCAAATGCAGATAAGGCTCAGGCCTTGGATGGACCGAATGAATGACCATTTCATGTTCAGTACGAAAAGTGTGAAGTAGCCGAAATGTTGAGAACTATTTTCGGTGCATTATTGTGCACTGCTTTGACTGTGTCTCAAGGCAAAGCGGATATTAATCTAGCCACTATGCACAGCATCCGATCGAATCTGGATCGTAGAGTTTCACCCTGCTCGAATTTCTGGGCGTTTGCTTGTGGCAATTGGTCCTCCAACTACGTGGACAACTTTCAATTGGCGGAGCAGAGATATGCCAACGCAATGATCGCGGTGCTGACGAGCAATCGCCTAAGGGATGCTCCACGCCTCTTTAAGCAGCTTCAAGACTATTTCACGGCATGTGTTGGTCACCCAGAGGAGCAGATGCAGCTGCCACCGGAACTCCTCTCGGGCGAAGCCTTCGAATGGACACGTGCAACGGCCAGGCTTCGCAAATATGGATTAAATGGCGTTTTCTTTGATGAGATGGCCGATGTTGCTTATAACGACTCGCTCAGCTATGTAGTGCAGCTCAAGATGCCGGTGGCTGATAACAATCACTCGGTGAGTAATCGTACGAAATATTTCATTATTATTTCATATTATATTCTCTTATATAGCTCTCAAATTAACAAATTCGACTGCCCTTAATTGCAGCCTATGAGGCCTGAGACTAGGTTGTTGGAAAGAGATCTGCGTATATTGCGCGAGAAATACGGCAATGAGGAGCCGATGCTCCAGCTGTGGATGCTGAGCAAGCTCAATAAGGAAATACCGCAAATCGAGTGGGAAGTATACTTCCAAGAGCTGTTGGAAAGGGAGCCAGGTCAGCTGCTCGTGCAGATTAGTGATGTGGAGTATTTCCGAAAACTGGGCGAGCTGCTGCGACAAAGCAGTAACACAGCTGTGGAGTCGTATCTAAGTGAGCGTCTGGCTCAGTTCGTCAAGGAAGCCAAGCCGGACTCAACCCTGCAGAGCTGCATACATCACATGAGTGCGGTGCTTCCCTTGGGCATGAACTACATCTACGATCGCTATGTGTACAGAACACGGTCGGAGGACATGCGTCAGCTGCAGCAGCTGTTTGACAGTTTGCGCGGAACGTTTGCCAAGTACCTGGAGCACAATCGGTTGGAACTAAGCCACGAGCAGCTAAGCTATCTGCACGCCAAGCTGGCGGGTATGCAATTGAAACTGGGCAATCTACCCAACCTCACGAGCGCTGATTATGGCTTCTATAATGACCACTACGCGAGTGCAAACTTCTCGGCTGGCAGTTTTGCGCAGAGCTTCTGGCAGGCTCTGCGCCTGCGCACGCGTCTGCAGCATCTACCTCTGGGGCAACCAGGTGCCACCTTGCAGCTGAAGTACTACTATGTGAACGACGATTTGGTCAGAGCTCGCAATGCGCCCTATTTTGAGCATGAGCGGAATACGTTGACCGTTCCACTGGTCTTTATGCAATGGCCCTTCTACGACCATCGCCAACATCCCATTTTCCGACATAGTCTGATGGGCTTCATACTCGGCCACGAGCTCAGCCACGCCTTCGAGCAAGAGGGCATACTCTTCGATGCTGCGGGCAATGAGGCGCTACTTGGAGTGCGGATACGTCAGAAAGCCAAGTTCCAAGCTGCCTTAAACTGTGCCCAGCACTCACCGACAGCATCGTTGAAGGAGCGATTGGCGGACTTCAACGGTCTCCAGCTGGCCTATGATACATTCTTCGGCCTGGCGCATGACTCGCAGCGGTTCGAGTATCGGCCATATGACTTTGAACAGGAGTTCTTAGCACCACAGATCTTTCATCTCAATTTCGCGCAGTTCTTTTGCGGCCGCTTGCCGACGGCCATCAACCATGACATGGACGATGTGCGGGTCAATGAGGCCGAACTAAATTTGCATCAATTTTCCATCGATTTCAGTTGCACACGGCATCAGTTCGACTCCATCGGCTGTGAGATGTGGCGCGCAGCAACCCATGAATAGTAAGAGTGCGATTGGAACTTTCTATAAAACTGTTTAAATGATATTCAAATTTAATGTATTTCATAAATAAAAGTTCAACCAGCTGGTTTATTGACTTCACCTATGTATATTGAACACATTAAAGATTTCAATAAAAATTAACCTCATTACCAACTTAACAAGCATAACTTACTGTCTTTAAACGCTTTCAGAATTGACTAAGATAACCCCTTAAATATAATAAAGCAAGAGATTTTTCGGCTTAGCATTCTTTTGAATAAATTATTGATTCGCATTGTTTTCCATATCTCATTCATATTTCTGAGTATCTTACGCCTCTCTATCAAAATGTGTTTATTGATACGCTTTTTACACAGGGTGCTTATTTGTTGTTATCGTAGCAATAAGTAATCGGCAAAAAGTATTAACGGCCCATTCAGTTTGATTGTCAATTGCGGGTTTCATGTTAAGGCATAGTCAACGACATCGTCATATTCGCTGTCTATTGAATACAAATTCCAATGCGTTCTAGACAAGCTACAATAGCTGGCTTGAGAGATACTCTTTTTCCAAAATATCTCGAAAGGAAGAGAGTTTCTTCGGCATTGACTCCTGACTGTATTAACTTAGGCACAAGCAGATGTAACCATGTTGAGGTTTGGAGCAGACAAAATCATACTGTGCCAAGCCAATATGCTCACGTTCACAATTAGGTAAGAAGTATATGCCGGTCTCAGTTAGGCGAAAGCTTTGGCTCTCTGTTCCACACACAGACACAGTGCCAAACCTAATCAGGTTGCCATAGCCACAAGTTGTTGCGAGCTTTGCACAGTGGTACTGATTGGAACAATATGCAAATTCATTTAAATTTAGAGGGTAATATGAATACAAATATTTTGAGGTAATATTCGGTTGGGTGTGAGTAAATATTAAAATAGAAATTTTGTTTATATTCGAATTTACAATGACGACTACAGATCAATTTAAATATTGGAATAATTAGTCTTTGATGTACTCCACTGCATTTCGCAATAATTTGTATATTTGGCCCATTGTGCGTCGTGTCGAACGAGTCCTGTGTTTTCGTTATTTGTGGGCGTCGTCAGTGCAAAGTTTGATTGTGTGTGGGCTTTGCTCCCGCACCGTAAGAAACCGAACGACCAGACGCGAAAGCTTCCTCCCGGACGTAGTACATCGCTGTCATTTGCCGTCATTGGACGTGAGCTTTGCCACGGCATCGTCGGTTGATTTCGTTATCTTGATTGCGAATCTCGTCGCAGCCTCCGCAACCTTTATAAAATTATAGATTCCGAAACGGATTCACGAGACTCCCAAACAAAACAGAAAACACAGTCATACAAAAAAAAAAATAAAAATAAAAAAAATAAATAAATAAATAAAAATAAAAATAAAAGGAAAGAAATGTAAATAAAATGTTCAAAATTATAAAATAAGTGAAAATTCTACATAGTTTTGCATTGCATTTAATTTGTGATCAAATATCCATTTTTATCATTTTGCTATCTGCATTTAAACAAATTGTACGTTTGCGTGCGATCCCAAAGTAAATGTGATCAACAGCGGCGCGTGAGTTTTGAATATATGCTATAAATATATATACATATATATGTAAATATATAGTAATAATAGTTGATATGTGTGCGAGTTAAGTAATAAAAATGATAAAGGCGATAAACATTTAAGGCAGACACCATGTGAGCAAGTGAGTGGATGTGGGTGAGGCGGTAATTTAAAAATTTGTTTCGAGTTCGGACTTTTGGATGGGAAGACTCTCAAGAGCGGCCGATTTCACACTTAACTTATAACACCAACAAACAAAGAATCGCCTCAATTCAGTATATATAGACTGCATTAGCACATTGGGCAAATAAACAACCAATAAAAATGATCTTTTCTTAACCAACTGGGTTCGAGCGCCCTGGCAACTGTTGATCACTTAGCAGATCGCCCCATTGGCACACAATGAGACTTTTAAATTGATGAATAAACGTCTGATTAGCCTCTTCATATAAACATTTTCAAACGCAAACGCACAAAAGCCAATCCAAAGTCAACCAAAGCCAATTGAAGCTATTTTTGTGGGCCTTCCCTTTCCTCCAATATTTTCGTCAATATAACTTGTCAAGTTCAAGTGAGGCAATCTTCTCTATGGATGTCTTTCACATACATACGTATATGGCAATTGATTCATACAAGTATATACAGTTTTCACTATATACGATATATATAATACCATCTATCTATCCCCCTCACTCTTCGTTACAGTGGCTTTTGTGTTGTTGTTATTGCTGTTGATCAAAGATAAACAATGTAAAAATTTGCAGTGAGTTCTTAGTAGCCTCCAGTGCTTAAAATAAACATTAAATAAAATTTGAAAAAGTTGCAGAATTAACAACACGACTAGACAGAACGCTAACAACGATATTTCAAATTAAAAGAGTAGCGAAGTAAAAAATAGAGACCCACGAGACGGTGTCGACTACGAGATACCCTCTGGTTACTTGAATCAAGTCAATTGTAATAAAATCTTATTATAGTGCAAGCATGATTAAAATATGCCAAAGCTAACAAAAATTATTATTTCTCGCACTTGTATTTGTTATTCTAGAGCCAGAGTTGCAAACACTGTGGCGACTTAAATAAATTAAGTAAATAGAAATATTTAATTATACTTAAGTGCGGAGCGGCGAATAGGCGAAGCTGATAGCTAAATGGATTTCTGAGTGCGAGTGCAAAATATTTCGCGAATGCATTAAAACAATTGAGTCCACTTCGTTCTGAAGAGCAATCAGTGCACCTAGTGTACGGTAGCTGCAGCTTACTCTAAATGCAATGCACTGTAAATGCCACGCCCCTATTAGACTGATTGCATTCAATGGTACTCCATTAGTTGAGTCAATTGCCTCGGCTGTGCCAGCTGCCGTTCCTATCTGGACATGAATGCAGCCACAACCATAGACATTGCTAAAGAGATAAAACAAACTCTGGGAGGGCTTCTGCAAGCTCATGAATTTGTTCGTGAAATTACATATTGTTTACGTGGTCTTCCCCGCGCATTGTGGTTTGGGTCGGTGTCCGTGTTGCCTCCCGGCAGGCAAGCCCAAGCGAGCAGGCAATCAGGATGCCTGCAGCTTCTTTTGATATTTATATAATAATTGCAAATGAAATTTTCGACTCTGCCCACGTATCAGTTTCACATGAAACAACTTTGCACGCAGGCAGCCCTTATCTGAGTGTTGTACAGAATTTGTTTGAAGTTTAAACCATGTTTAGAGATTTCCTTTGCCATCACATATGAAATGAACAGGCGCGCCAAATTGCTACCTCGGCGTATACTTGATGCTGTTGTTGCTGATGGCGATGGTGTTGTTGCTTTCGTTGCTATTGTTGTTGTTGGTGCTGTCGATGWCGGAAAATGCGCATACGCCGCGTGGGCCATGCAGCGCCATTTATTGAGTCTTAGCATTGTTGTTTAAGTTTGTAAACTTATGGCTATATAACCACAGGCGCATGCATTCTAAATGTGTGTGTGCTTGTTTTCTTTGGCTTTAATTTGTTTGCCTTTTGTGTGCCTTGACTTGAGCGAGTCGATTGCGTTGAGGCAGGAAAACAGTCACTCAATCGGGCAATCGGGCAATCGGGCGATGGGGCTGACGACAGCCGCGAGAAGCGAGCAGCCGGTCGAACAATTGGAGAGTCGCCTGTCCGGCGTGCAAATAAGCAATTTATTTGCTTTCCGGCATCCATAAATATCGATCATATCGCCCGACTGCATCTGGCTTTGATTTGCACCCTTCCATTCCAGCTGACAACGCTTTCAGCTCCAATTGCAATTGCTTTCGTTCGGGCTTTATTCATTCATAAAATTGTTGCTTGCGACCTTTTCAGCATTTACGTGGCTTTTATTGCGCTGTAGCCGACAAATGGCAATATGGCATAAGGCATGAGGCACATGGCATATGGCATATGGCACGCCTAATAAGCAGCCCAAAGGCCGATAATGGCTACAAAACAGACATATAATTGATAGGGTCTTATGATAGCAGTTGGCGATTCGGCATTTTCTTTGTCATTGCAGCAGTGATACTACCCTCGATATATGGCATATATATAATGTTCCTCATGTGTGCAATGCCAGTATATATAGAATTACCTATTTGGCGTTCATTTGTTTTGACACTTAATAAATCATTTACAGATCGCAACCTAGCAAATAAAATTATAGCGCTTACTGGCCATTTCAGACAGCAGGGAATATTATTTGCTCTATTTACACATTGGAGGCAGCTGCGAAGGCTGTTTATTTGCATTCAGCTTTAGCTGTTAATTGTGCGCATTAGCAGCCAAATTAGCCGCCTCTGCCTCTGCCTCAGCCTCAGCCGCAGCCGCAACCTCCGACGCCGTTGCTTTAATGGAATGGCAAACCTTAACTACAAAATAAAAATCATAATCTAACGCACCCGTACAAATATTGCGCTTGTTTGCCCCGTAGCATCATAAATAAATCGCAGCTCGCCAAATATTTAATCGCGGCATATGCCACAAACTGGCATTTGGAAATCGGCTGCCTATCTCAGCGTCTTCCCAGTGATGGAACAGCACGTCCACGCCTAAAGTTGAAGACAGAGCTGGGCTGGGCAGGTCCAAGACGAACACCTGCTCGAAATCTAGTTTCTAAATAATTCTTTCACTTTTATTTTATTGTATTATTTTATCAAGTGTCTTATGATATGTTGAATGAACAGTTTGTGGGGACCCTTCTCTGTACCTGCTTGGTTGGGATGAAGTCTGTGAAGATATCAGCACAGAAATGACAGATAAGTCAAATAGACCTTTAATTGTAAGTGACTGGCTGTGATTGCATGGCTGACTGCTGTTTACTCATTAATAAATAAGTGGCGTGTTTTTGTTTTAATCACTGTAACCAGCAAGCTCTTGTTGTTGTTGTTGTTGTTGTTCTCGCTGTTGTTGTTGCTTCTGGCAGCCGTTTCGCCCGAATTGAGTCCTTGCCGCTGAGTCGAAAGACAAGGGCAGACAGAGTACACAATAAGTACGCTCCTGCATATCTAATTACCCACCTGAAGCATCTTTAATTAGAATCAGCAATGCGGGCAACATCTTCAATTAATTGTGTTTATTATTTCATCTGTTTGCGCATTCATTGTTCCGCTGAATATCATTAGTCATTAGCCATTAGTCAGCTCGGCGACAATGTGAGCATCAATTAGAATAATTGTTCCACATTTAAGGATTCAGTTGAAATAATGTAAAAAGCATTTCGAGATAAGCGAATATGACTCCATATGATATTCTCTATAATTGTATATATTTAAATTCTATTCACAGAACATTACCGCACAGTTCTATTCGAGGCTTTTTAATTAAAGGCCAAAGGTGCCGCCGTTAAGGCGAACTGGTTTCCATTGATAACTAGTTGCGATCGGGGTCGCTGTGGCCTCCTTCGATTGCCGGCAATTAGAGATGTTCCCTTTGGGGCCAGAGTGTACGGCATTCACAGTAACACAGTTACAGTCACAGTAGCCCCGCCCCAAAAGTGTAGGGGCCATAAAGATTGTTGTTTATTTATCTGCACATTATCTGCATATGTATGTATATGTCTGTAGGGGCAGAGCCACGTGATTGTAGCATGTATTATTTGTACAGATTTTTATAAGTTCCATATACATATGCCTATACATATGTATATACAAATAAAACAAGACGACTCAGCGGCATATCTATTCAGATATGTGTGCCACACACACTTGAGCCACATATTCAGATGTGGGAGGCCTCGCGCCCTGCTTTTCTGGACTTGTGGGGAATAGTGCGTGAATAAGTTCATTGCTTGATTTTATCAGACACTCAGATATCATCAAGCAGAGGTACGCCCGCTCTTTCACTTCGTTTCAGCTCGTCAACACACATATTTGCGCAATTTCTGTCTATCTCCGGCGCTGCTGAGCTCTTTAATTGCGCATCCCGTCCCATCACTGAGAGCGAAGAGGAAGTGTGTGTCAGGTTGAACATCAGTCGTGTGCCCTGTCCACACCTGCAAGTACACACAGCTGACCTCTTGCTGACATGCTCACAGTGGGACAGACACAGCCGACAGACACAGAAGCCAGTAGAAAGAACATAACGTCACACGCACATGCCCAACTCCGGGCGGGAAGGAGCAGCAAATGTGCAGCAGTGCACTGAAAAGCTAATCATCGACAATAACCAGTTGCCTCGGCAGTTAGTTACCTTTGTACCTTTCCGCGTCGACAAACAAACTTCGCATGGCCGAGGAGGAGCTGCAAGCGTTCGTGGAGAGCCTGGATGGCGCCTCGGCGGAGAACATTGCCAATGCCATTGCCAACTTCTCGTTAGACATGCTGCAGCGGGCCAGCGCCCTAATTGGCACCCAGCAGCCGCACAGCGGTGCTCTACTTATCAATCGAACCCTGGAGGAGCAGTGCAGGCACCAAGCAGAGCTGGAGAAGCGTCTATACAGCAACAGCAGCAGTAATGTATCATCAAATGTCAATTCGGTGAGTGCAGATGGAGTGAACTAATTAAAGTCTTTAAGGACATACAAATATATGGACTGCATTTAATATTTGAATAGAAACATATAGGCAAAAGATAAATAGGTTTTGAATAGAATTACGTAAAAAATGTAGAAAATGCAACATTAATAGAAATTTATAATGTAGTAATATTTTAAAGTAGGATATATTTTAGTTCTAAATCATCATTTGAGTTTATCTAAATATTCTATATGGAAACTATTAAGTATAATATTTGAATGAAAATATCTATTCTATTTGTAATCAATTGCGGACATTACCACAAACTGTGACATCATTCAGACCTGATTCGCGTGGCTGATAAGGAAGCCCAGTTAAAGTTTAAATCAAAGTGTTCTGGTTACTCGATGATGCACGAATTGTTTTAATATGTTTTACTGCCCTATTTGTTGATAAACAAACACATCGACATACACATAGCCAGCCCCTAGCCCCTAGCCAATAGCAATGATCGATTATTTATGGCAAGCAATCAAAAATGAGTTTTTGCTTATTTATTTTGGTTGATTTTATTTGAGATCGGTTGAATTGAAAATATATTTAATGGCCAAAATGAACACCTTTGATTTTTTTCACACATAAGAAGGCAGTTCGAAACGTCACATGTGGATATAAAAAGAGATTGGAATAAATAAATAATAACCATTAATTGAATTTAAATTTTAGTTCAGACTAAAAGATGGCGCAATATTCAATAGATTGGCACATTTGCAAACTACCCTCGATCTAATTTTGGTGCAGTTTTTTGCTTCTCTTTCCGCAATTCGCAAAGGAAAACAATAATAACGTTGGAGTAGTGGGTGAATACATGTTTCAAATATCAAGCCTTGATCTTCAATAGCGTCGATAAAACAGCAGACAGCAAGACAGAAATTGCACAAAACCAATCTACTCATCTCACTTTCATGAAAGAGTATTAAAATGATCACAGCATACCATGAATGTAGCTCTAGCTTAAATTCTCATACACATGGCTAAAAATATGTACGATTATATATGTATGTATATGTATGCTTATCAGCTGCGCCATGTTCTTTTATCTCGGCTGTTGCTGCCGCTAGGAGCAAAATTATAACGAACATTTTACTCAAGTATCAGGCGCACAGAAATGTGAAGTAGGATGCAAAATGTTCGTTAAACGTACATTAACAGTGTACTGTTATCATGCTGTTATTTAACAGAGTAATAAAAGTGCGGTAACCGTGTACGGCTAATATACTGTAAACTTACATTTTCCACCCTATTACTGACTTCTGTGCGCCTAGTACATCCAAACTTCCTCAGCTAATTTGGTAAAGTACCAGGCGCACAGAAATGTGAAGTAGGGTGCAAAATGTTCGTTAAAAGTACATTAACAGTGTACTGTTATCATGCTGTTATTTAACAGAGTAATAAAAGTGCGGTTACAGTGTACGGCTAATAAACTGTAAACTTACATTTTTTACCCTATTACTGACTTCTGTGCGCCTAGTTCATCCAAACTTCCTCAGCTATTTTGGTGAAGTACCAGGCGCACAGAAATGTGAAGTAGGATGCAAAATGTTCGTGAAAAGTACATTAACAGTGTACTGTTA